ACTGGCGGCTTTGTAGTACAAGTTTAGTATACGGATGAGGCATCTCTCGCTGCTGATCATCTCTCGCTCCTGAGTCCTGTCACACTTCGGAGTCATGTCTCACTGCAGAGTCATGTCTCGCTGCTGAGCCATCTCTCGCTGCAGGGTCATCTCTTGCGGCTGGGTCGTCTCTCACTGCTGACGTATCTCTCGCTGGGGAGTCATCTCTTGCTGCTGAGTCATCTCTCGCCGCTGAGTCGTCTCTGAAGAGATCACCGCTGATTTCGACGACGACGAAGGTTACAGGCGTGGAGTACGCAAGTTGTGGGCTGGGACGCTGCGCTGTAGATGCGTGTTGCGCTGTAGGCATGGAATGAAGGCATGAGACGAAAGGCAAGCTTTCCGCAGCCGTGTCCATGTACTGTACACTGAATGCAGAGCGTGAGTTTAGAGACACAGCAAACACGCAGAATCAGACGAATCACAAGCAGACTGTCAGAGTTGGTGCGCGAGTGTTGAAGCACTCATGCTTTTCTGCGTGGCGTGTGGTGTTGTGACCTGCGTTGCGGTGGAAATTGTAAATTCGAAATCCTCTGTAACTAAATTCATTCCGACGCGCGGTGGTGTGACCAACGTCATGTCACCACCCTCGTAGCTAGAGAACCACCCCCGCCGCCCGTTGTTCCACCTTGTCCAGCCCTGCCAGAGGCGCTGGGTGAACCATTCCTGGCTCTTGTCGGGAGGCATCGATCTGCGTGCGTCACTGTGGACCGCGCAGACAGCCGGAAAATGCGTTGCCCGACGAGGAACAGTTTCGCTGTTTTTTGCACGGAGGAGCACACCAAATGTTGGAAGAAATGGTTTTGACTTTGAAAACACCACCCACTTCACGTGCCCGCAGCAGCTGCATTTAACTTTCAATTGCAGATGCCCAGTTGCTTCAGCACGCCGGTGTGGGCTGCTGATCTTGCCTTGGTATAGCACAGACCTTGCACAGGTGGCACTGTGGTGGTCAAAAAGTCCGGAGGGCGTGCGACTGACCAGGGACACGCATGTTGTTTTTGTTTTGGAACCCGTCCAGTCGGATTGGGTTGCCTGGGTATGATTTGTTTTGTTTTGGATTCTGTACGTATAGCTGACCATGACTAGGGACACTGTTTGGAAAGAACCAGCGGTTGGACTGGGTTGACTGGGTGTGACTTGCTTTTGTTTTGGGATCCGTACATGTAGCTGACCATGGTTTGAAGGCGCTAGCTAGCAAGCCAGAGGGCAACTGGTGACTTTGTACTACAACTTGAGTACGCGGAGCAATCTGTGCAGCTAGAAGCTGAGAACTGGCGACTTTGTAGTACAACTTTCGTACGCGGATGAGTCATCTCTCGCTGGTGAGTCATCTCTTGCTCCTGAGTCATCTCTCGCTGCTGAGTATCTGGGGAGCTGGAAAATGAGAACTGGCGACTTTGTAGTACAACTGTAAAGTACGCGGAGTATTTGGCAAGCTGGACAATGAAGACATGATTTTGACTTTGAAAACACCACCCACTTCGCGTGCCCGCACCAGCTGCACTTAACTTTCGCTTGCAGATGCCCAGTTGCTTCAGCACGCCGGTGTGGGCTGGTGATCTTGCTTTGGCATAGACACAACCCAGTGCGCTGATCCTGCAGAGAGCACAGACCTTGCACAGGTGGCGCTGTGTGTGTGTGTGTGTGTCAACAGTCCGGAGCGCATGTGTTTGGCTCAGTGAGTGACACGAGGGACACGCATGGTGGAGAGAACGTGGACACTCCTATAGGTCAATGTGTTCTTATAGGAAACTTCCGCCGCCGGCTTGCCCGGGAACTACTTGTACATTTTACTATGCCAACCAGAAATTCCCACTGCCAGTCCTTGTCCCTCAACCTCATCTGGGTTGTAATACCCAATAGGCTAGCCTGGCGCAGGGTTCAGTCTTCAGTCTCTCAAGACAAGGCCCGCTTTTTCATCCCACGCGTTCTGACCAATGAGAGACATCGCCGAATGTGCTCCCCCCCGCCTGAGCCACTTCCGCCTGAGTGGCAAGCCAGCACTTTTCCAAGTTCAGTCCCCTTTCCCAAATCCAATCGGGTTTCTTTTTCCAAGTTCTTCCACGGTTTGACTCCAAATCTATGTCTCTATATATGTCCAATGGCCCTGGCACATGGCCTCTTCTATCCATTCCATTCCGTTCCACTGCCCAGTGGCCATGCACCATGCCCGCGTGAAGACCCCGAAGTCGCTGTCCACGGCCACCACTTGACAGAACTTGGGGTCCTCGGAACGGCTCGCAGGTGGGACCAATGGGTGGCTCGGCCCAATGCCAAGGCGGGAGAATGATCACCGCTCATGAAAAAGAAACTGAACAAGTGCCGAACTCTCTCTGTCTCTTTCTCTTTCTGCAGAGTCCAGCTGTCTCACAGCTGTCTGGCAGGGACACTCTGACAGATGGGTTGAAAGTCACGGAAAATAATACCCATCGTTCAGGGAACATGATATCCACCTGCGCTGCCAAGTTACAGCCGATCCGGTGCCCCGTTTTTCAAATCCTCACCTAGAGGTCCCAATCCTGAGAACCTGAGAGAGGTAGTTGGGGGTCACAACTTTTGGAGAAGTCGCAGGCTAAACTAAACAAGTTCAAATTCACTGACAAATTCACTGAAGCCAAGTGGTGGAAGATGGTGGAAGCCTTACCCCCCTGATGGAGACAAAAAGGATTGAGAAAAAAAGAATATATGTCTCACTACCGTGTCACCCGCCACCCACTTGACAGAAGCTGAGACGCGCGTGCTGCCAGAAAGGCCATCATCTCGTCAAACTTGTTCATTTCCTCAGACCGCGAGCTGCGGACGACAGTGCGGCCCTGGTCTGCCCCAACCGACTGAGCTGCCCCTGAGCTGTTCCAGACCACGGGCTGCAACGAGCTGTTCCAGGCACGTATATAATCGGGTCAAAGAAAATAACTATATAATTGAGGTCTCCAAACAAAGGGTGACACGGTTTCGAATACATTTAAAATGGGGCTATATATAGAAGTTCCAAGTTGGGATGGACGACGCCGGGAGGTGTTTTACGGTCTTATTATTGGGTGCCCAGCTTCTTCACGCACTTGGAGGGATGAATGGGATGGATCTAATCAATGGGTGGAATTTCATTCCCAACGATCCAGCCAGTTCATGTGTCCCACGTGTACGTTTGAATCACTATGATCGCTGTGTCATGGTTTGTTGCCTCAGTTTGGTGGTCAGTATCTTCAACTGAGATACTAATGATGACAGTATCAACTGAGATGATCTGGGTGGTCAGTAGTGGTCAGCTTCTTCAACTCCTACCATAGCAACCTCTTCGCCCAACCCAGCATAGCAACCTCTCTCTCTCATCTGTGCAACCGGTCGTTGAGGGTGCGACCAGTCAGTTGAGTGCGTCGAGACTCGATGGACCGGTCGAGAACTGACCAGACTCCAAAGACTGGACCTATCAGGTGGCTCCATTGCGGGCCAAGCCTCACATTCATCACCATCATAGTACCTTAGCAGGTCTATGATGGATTGAACGCAGTTAGGACCAGTCCCTCCGGACCTCGGCTTCCTGCTAGGGCGCCCGGCTCAGACCAAGACCAGACCCGCTCGGACCGGCTCCACCTTTTTGCACAAGGCATCGGAATCTGGGTCTGAGCTGTCCGAAGACTTCTGTCCGTGCTGGCCCGTGCCCGAGAGTTCTGCCTGGACAGTGGCCCGTGCCTGGGAACCTACAGTATAGAACTACTGAAGGGGCTGAACAGAATCAAGAAGAATCATAGACGCGGGGCTTGGCAGTTGAGATTGGGAGTGCGGCCTGGAATGGCCAAAAAGGCCCCACTGGGCACCAGGTGTCCAGAAAGGACTCACACATTACCCGCAACACAGCTGTGCTCCTTGGCACACGGAGAGGTTTTCCGCGTCTTGCACAGGACGCCGAAGGACGAGGCAGGTGGCGTCACTGGTTGCGTCCTAAGTTGCTGTCTGACCCCTAGCTGCGCAAGGGAAGACCCCGGTCAAGCGAAAAAAACGAACCCATACGAAGCCTCTTTGGTTATCTTTTATGAAGTTCCATGGCAATGGGGGTAGGAATGGCTCATCCATGCCAGTTTGGGGATAACAATCTCAGTTGAGGCTTTTGGTATGTTTTGGTTTCGGTTGCTATGCAGCTTCAGTCGCCATCATGGATCAGTACAGAAAAACTTACTAAACATATTCCAGTATATAGCCCGAAAGGCAGTCGGATGACGAAGTTTCCTCACAGCCCGCAGGCAAGTTCAGGGGCACCAAACCCTGCCATACGCAAGCCGTTTGGATCCTTGAAAAATGGATGCTCTTGTACATCTGTCTCTTATGTGCGGCCACCACCCCTGCTGCGCCCGGCCGAGAATCATTTCCGCCGACGTGTGCGGGACACAGCTGCAGTGAAGATCAGCAACAGCTAACGGTCATTCAGTGTGGACAAAGGTATAAGTATAAGTTGGTGTATATCTCTCCGGAATGGCAAGGAATTACACAAAGCATAATCTTTGGCTTGGGGAGACATGGTCCCAAGGTGTCTTGAGCCTTCCAGGCAGCTGGAAACAGGCCAACTCCGCCAACTAGATTTAGTTTTATTGTCTGGCCTTGTTCAATTAGACGACCAGCATATACTCTACGATGCTATGTGATTGTATGCGATAGTGATATCATGCCTCAGCTGTGCCAATGAAGGGCGAAAACATTTGCATGGTATAATATGGGGTTGATTAAGCTAAGGCCAGCAGGAAAATTGCAACTGTTGCGTAACCAACATTTCTTCCACACTCTAACTATCTAAATGATATCTACTGTAATCATAAGTCCAAGCCTTCAACATGAGGGGGTCCTCTAATTGCTACTGATCAGGCTGTCTGATGCTGTCGCTTTGCGTTGGGAGAGCTCTTGGTTGATGGGTGGTTGCGCTGGGTGGTTTGGGGCTGTTTGGGGAGTTCTGCATCCACTGCAGCCGATCACACAGTAGCCGCGCTCGGCTGGCTCTCTGTGGCCTGTGCGGCAATGAAAGTGGTGGCCTATGCAATGGAACGATCACTAAACCATCAACCAAAGATCAACGACCGGTGACACCTGTACAATGGTTCCCTTGAACAAGGGGAATTTGCGCAAAACGGTCAGTAAACGATCAATCACATTCAACAACGTCCTGCCTGCTGCATCATGGCTGGGGGCGCCATCTCCTGGCGTGAGGGGAACGCTTTTCCATCATCAGTTGCACCATGTTAGAGGACGTGTGCTGAGAGGAAGGGAATTGGCAGAATGCAAAATCGCAGTCGCACAAAGCCGCCACTATAGGCACGTAAGACTGCACGGTAGATATCAACCCTGAAGTGTTTGTCGGGCGGTGTCTCCAGCAAAACAATGCCTTTCCCTTGGCTTCGACGATGTGCTGGGGAACGCATTGGGATGGAATACAAACACTAAACACATAGAAACATTGGGCTGTCATGTTTGGCGCTTTGCTTCCAACACCTATTTACATGGCACCGGCCACTGTTTAAAACCAGGTGTTCGCAAATTGGCTGGGAAGTTCCAGAAACTCCATGGTGCAAGCTTTGCCCAAACAAGTTATGCAAGTAATTCCATGGTGATGTTTGGCGGGTTGGACAGGTCAACAACCTTTCTGGGGAAGCCAAACAAGTTGAACTGGAGCCGCACAACAAGTGCCACTCCATGCCACTCGAATTTTAATCCAGGTCCAAGCTGCTTTCGATTGCCAAGTGAAGAACCTCCAAGAAAAAACATCATATATATAATATATGTATATATAATATACATGTAGAACCCATTTCTGGCTCCACCCTGCTGACATGGCCTCGATGGGCGTCTTCACCGTGACCACGTCGCTGCCCCGGGAGCCCGGTAGCATCGGAGCGCCCGTGTCCTTCGGCGACCGGACGGGCCACGTGGGCGGAAGCCTCTGGGCTGAGGATGCCATGTCTGAGGTCGCAAGTAGAAGCGCTGCCGAGATCGGCGCCGTCGATTTCCCCTCTCCTCAAAGGCTAATCTGTAGACATCATCGAAGTGGTCCACAAAGTGAGCGGTCAAACCTGGAACGGGATCCATTTCCGAGTGCCAAGCTGCTTAGCAACATGCAAAATGCTCATGTTGCAAAGCAAATTCTGGTGTTTTCAAGGTCACCGGGTCAGCACGACGAAATGAAACGCCTGCTAGCTGCCCTGCCTCATATGACTCATATGGTCTTGCTCTACGACTCTATTTGGTACTTTCATGTACTCCCGCCTTGCCAGCTGAGCCGCTTCATTGAACATCTTTCAGGACATAACCCTAGTTCGGGTTTGCAGAGTGCAAGCGAAAAGCACTCCACTGGTACCTCCTGGAGGTTGTGCTCTCTGCTTTCTCCGCATTTCGTGATGGGGGCCATATAAACCCACCTTCCCATCTACTTAGAAGGATAGAAATCACCGTAAATATCAATGTGAAGCCACCTGACCTAATTCCAAACACAACTTTCACGATGGAAACCCTGAAACCTCGCCCCACGCCTGCCCGCAAGTAGGGTTTCAGCTCCAAATAGTCGGCCTCCCACAAGGTGTCTGTAACACGAGTGACGAAGTCGACGTGCCCGGATGTGTCAAATGATCACGATTAGGATTCTCTGATTCCTCTAGGAGTTTCAATGCCTCTTCGCCTTTCTTGTCTCCCTGCTTCCAGTCGTAACAAGTCAGCTCAAGCAAGCTTCATTGACTTAAAATGCATCGGAAGCCCACAAAAGCTGACAGATTGTGCATGGGCATCCATTGCATGCAAAATCCATCAATCACAGCTCACAGCTGGCGGGAAACCCCACCAAGAATGTACCAAACTACAATCCCACCGTGCAGATCCTGCAGGGTGACCTACGGTCGCCTGATTGGACATGGGTAAAACCAAATTCTCCACATTCTCCCGCTTCGCAGCCAGGGTCTTCCTGGGCACCGGAGGGCAGTCACCGTTTTTGGACAGGCCTGGTTTGGGGACAAAAGCCTGGGAAGGACTCGGCATGAGACCAAGCTAAGACCGACTTCACCACAGTGCTGAAACATCGCTAAAGAAAGCAGAGGGCTTTCTTGTTGCAACGCCGAGCAGGGTGAATAAGCAGTCCTGATTCGTAGTCGCAGGAGGCGTTGGGTGGAACCAGCCTTCAAATACACCTCACACTTGTCTTACGGATTCCAACTGGCCGATGTGACTTGGTAGGGCCGGGGCTCTCCAAGGCTGTCTCCATCAAGTGCATTTTCGGTGTATATAGTGCATGGTTCCTTGCTCCTTCCAGATATGTCATGGGGAGATTCATTTTTTGGGGTGGGGGGGAAGGCAGCAACTGCGTATCAACGACGAGGGGGGGGGGGACGGTGGACATCATTTCTTTTCACTAAGGGTTTTTCTCCCCATGTGCGCACCTCACCTCCGCAAACACATGCAAACACCTCGTGGCCGTCGGACTCACCGCCGGACTCCGCGAAGTCTGCCGAAGTGCTCTTTGATGCCGCCCACTCGCAGCACCTTGCCCGTCAGGGTGACCTGCCACACCCGCGACGAGCGTCGACCGGGCACGGTCGATGGCCGCGCGGCTTTTTCTTTAAGCGTTCCTTTCAGGTTCCTCCCGTTCTACCATGATCCTACCCTCCCCCCCATCCTCCCCCTTCCCCATCCTCCGCTAGCTGTATCGATATCGATCTGTCATGATCGGTCTCATCTATTCAATCTATTCCGAGGTGACCTGGAGGGCCCCACGATGCCTTCAACCTCACCGGTTCGCCAGGTCTCGCCTCACCGCTCATCGCCAGGTCTCGCTTCACCGGGCGATCTAAGGCCATACTGAGCCTCAGCCACCCACCCAGACGGCGTGGCGAGTCCGGACGCTGCCGGCAGACTCACGCAGATCGCCCAACGCAGTGAAACCAACCCACCAAACGACCAGGTCTTCGGATCAACCTCGAACCTTGGACGGGTCGGGCTTCGGGGTAGAGGAGTTGCGCGAGCGGCCGCGATTGCGCAGTGTCGCTGTTGATGCGCGCCAAAGCGACAGGGCCGAGGTCATGGTCACCCCAGCAGATGGTCCATCCTGCGCGAACGACGAGGAGAGTTGGTCTCTCGTTTTGCCTCGTTTTGACCTATTTAAATCCATTAATTAGGTGCGTTTAGACATTGAGATATATTGAGATGATATTGGACATGGCATTAGAAAAGCAGTGGCAGCTGGTCAACCATCCTTGCAAGAACAAAAAGTTCCATGGGCAACTGGAAAAATACGTTTGTTCTCCAATCGTCCAACGCATACGTATCTTCTATAAACGAACAAAATGGTGACAAACAAATTGCGTTGATTGGTCATTATCGAAGAAACATATCCTCTTATTATTGTGACTGGTTCTATATCGTGCGAACCGCGCGCCCTCAAGATCGACAAGACGTCTGGAGAATTGAAGAACGGACAGAATCGCACAGTTGTTCCATCTTCAATCGCATGGACATTGAGCGCCAAATCCCAAAACGTATACTGCTAAATAGAAGGGATAATAAATAGGAAAACATGGTGATCATCACTTTTGCAAGGTTTGGCCACAAGGTCAACATAGCTGAACCTTTTAAAAACTGCGGGATATGGATATCTCACTGGGTGTCTCTTTTGATGGGTCCTATCGGTCCTATCGCTTGTGCAGGTGTTATATAGCCAAATTCCTGAAATTCACGACCGCTCTTTGCAAAATCAGGCATCACACTGTTCGGCGGTTGCTCATACGCCCCGAAAAGCATCCAGGTATCCAGTAGATTTCCCTCTCCCTCTCTATTCCACCTTTGTACCTCCATCCGTCCAATCCGGGGCCCGCTTCGGAAGCTCTCTCCTTTGGAGTGGCGCCCTCTGGCATATTCATGTGGATGAATGCCTGGAGCTCTCTTGGTCGCAGAATCACACGAACCCAACCACACTCTAACCACAGTGCAAAAAGCTTCCAACGTGGACATGCTCTGGAAGTGCTAGTGGCTGAAGCACACAATCTTGCAGTCGGTGTATGCCACTACGCCCCCACCTCCCCCTCGTCTTTGCCTTCCTCTCTGGGCTGATGCACGTCTTTCAGCTTGTCCCAAAACAAGGACAGGCTGAAAGGATGACACGTTTTTGGGAGGATTTGTCACTTTGAGATCTTTGGTGTTTCGTCCAGCCCAGGCACCGTATCTAGGAAGTCATTCTGGGGCGAGAGCTCCCGCAGGAAGATCTTGGCATAGGTGAGAGCGATTTCGCTCGACTCACCCATCACCTGGCACGGAGGGGCGTGGATTCGCCAGTGAGGCCACCCCCCTGATCACACCAGGCGCCAGGGTCACAGTGATCTCACCTGCTTACTGTGTGGCATTGAGGTTGGATTGTCCTGCTCCACGTGAATCGACGCCATTGACAGAAAGAATAACAGGAGTTACAACATGTTATTTTAGTCGAGCTCCCCCATCTCAGCCCACGCCCCAACACACCTCCCGGAGAGTCTCCTCCCCCGGCCGTCCACCACCCGTGCCTTGCCCAGCTTCCCTGTGACCTTCATCCGAGGGCCAGAGTTCCTTGGCCGTGAGGAAGAGGACGAGGGCCTCGGCCAAAACGACAGGTTTCAGTGCGGGTTGCGGTCGCTGATGAGTCGGAACCGCGTGGTTTCACGCGGTGTTTGCTTGGGGTGTGGGAGAACATGAACACGCGGCGTCTCAAGCTGCGGCAGCGTTGATTTAAAGTGTTCAGCCCGCTTCATTCCAAACCTCGATGTCCTCAGTAGTAGTGAACGCCCCCGTTTCGTTCCACCAAAACTCTGCAACTTCGCTTGAACGTTGGGGTACAATGAAGGTGTGTAAAAAGCGTCTCTCTTTGAATGTCCTGGTTGGTAAGGCGGAACGGGCAACCACCGCGACATGTAAATTCCGCCGGTGAAATCTGCATGAATCCGCCTGAATCTACAAACCGCAACTGCTTGTTCAGTCAAGTCGCGTGCTCGATGAACCTTCCGGCGGGGTCGTCGATGCGTCCACTGAGACGTCGGCATCGGCCATCCGTTCCTGAGCCGCTGGAACGAAAGGCCCGGCTCAATGGGAAGACTGAGGAGTAACGGCATGGTAGACTGAAGTGCAAGTAGCCCGAAGCAGACCTGCAGGCATGTTGATTCTCAGAGGATCCCCCATTAAGATCCGTTTAGAATCTACACTGCAAGAAGCTCAATGCGGTCATCCTTTTTGCAGTAATTGTCTAATCCCCTTTGGAGGAGCATGCAGAGTATCACGGAGTAGCATCTCAGAAGTCTCCGAACTTGCTTCCATCGATCTGGCCACTCTTCCCCAGTCAGGCCGATCTTCTCCTCTCTCTGCACGACGCGAGAAACCCCCTGGGCTGCCCGTGCGTTGCTCGCAGGCACTCGGCCCCGGGCCTCCACCACCAGGGTCTTGCCACCCAGAGCGGTCCAGGCGAGGCCCATGGCCACGCCACTGGGCACCGCATCCTGGAAGAGCCTGGCTCCACAAACACCAGCAGAAACGGATGTGAGGCACGTGAGATGCTAGAGATTCTCATTCTCATGCGTAGTGTGGCGCCCCAATCAACCCCAAAAGCCCTGGTCCTGCGAAAACGAGCCACCTGCGAGCCGCCTTCGGTGGGCACCAAGAAGAATAAAACAACGGACGAAGTGAATCTTTCGCTTCAAGGAGGGGGACAGTAGTTGCAACTGACCAGTGGGCTTTGGAGTACATGATAGTACATGTGTGACCGTTCGCCAACTGGCCTCGCTAGGTCACATGCTTCTGTTCTAGGGCTTCAGGTGAAAATGACCACGTCCTACCATAATTCTATCTGATTCCCCTCACAAAATGAATGATCGAGTGGATGGCTGAGCTGAGGTAGATCATCTTCAGTCCCAAGTCTTCAGGCTTGGCTACGAGCATCGTCCCGACTCAAAAAAAGGCGCTGGTGGCGCCTGTCCGTGGAATGGGGCGGCTGGCCTCAGTGCTCAAATCCATCAGGAGATCCCTTGCAAACCCAAGGCGCCAATGATCTTCAGCTATAAGAAGTGGCTGTCCGAAATCATCCCGTAGCCAAATTCAAATGAATACTCATACATTTAAAGCAAGATTGCATATCAACAATTACAAATGTATGTCCTGAATGAGCGAAATGGGTCGCAGCATTGTCAACAGGGCAGAGGGCGAATGGGTGACCCTTCCCAAGATTCAGCTATGTCTGCGGCTAGCGTTGTCTGGAACCCCTCAGGGAACTGAGCACTGGACCCACAAACTTCCGAAGATTCTCCAGTGAGATCATGGCCAGTTTCCTCTCCGCCGCCTCCGCGCGAACCATGCTCAAAGCAACTTTCCTTGGCTGAGCAGGTCATGAGCGCACGTTCCCACAAATCCTGCATGCCCAGTTAAGTTGAAGTTGGAGGGATTCAAGCCCTCAAAAGCTTGATAATTGAGGACGTCGAGAACAGTGAGAAGCTGTCGACACCACAGTAACTCACAGTGGGTTGCTGGTAGATCTCAGTGGGTTCTTCATCAAACTGTCCAAATTTCCCACTCCAACGCGAACAAAAACATAAATGTACTATTAACATGCTGAGTGTGCAATCCGACCCACCTGTGCTTCACCGACATGGTCTCCAACAAACCAGGTGCTCAATATTGCCTCAATCATTCGGAGTGAGTGCTTAAATCTTCCAAGTTGGCGCTGGCGCCTTTATTTTTGGATTAAATAATCTCTTGCCCAAACCAACGCCCTCCCTCCATCCCCAAACAACGCCCTTCCTCAATCAACAGCGCGGTCCCACACCCGGATGGGACACTGGATGGGTCCGGTCTGGAGATCTGGCACGATCGGAGCTCCCGCCCTGAAACAGATTGTCCGGGTCTCCGGGTGATCTTCTCCAGGAGCTTTCGGAGCTCCCGGACCCCCGCCTGACCGGAGCACCGGTCGATCCGGACGGGTGACGGAGTTCGTCGGACGGGTGGACGGATGCAATTCAGAAGGGGTTGGCAAAGCAAAAGACCACTTCTGGAGATACAATAAGAATATATAAGAATCGAATGTAATTGATCATCCAGAAGTAGTACGCTTCCCCAAGAAGCTCACTGCGAGGCACCCGAGCTTGAAAGTCAAGGAAGGTCAAGAAATGCCAAGGGGATCCAAGGGGTAAGCGGTAAGCTTGTATAGACTATATGGCCAAGTGCTATATGCTCTTGTACTCTCTCTTCCTGATTCTTCCTTGTCACCTTTGTCTTGGAAGTCGGTTCGTGGCAGGTGAGTCCCTTCTTGGTCGTCCCCGCACCTCTCGTGCGTAGTTCCGGATCAACTCCGCCAGCGCCTTTCAAACGCGCACACGCGCACGCGCGGCACGCCGAGTGCGAGGAACGTGCGCCGTACCGGGGCACACGGTACGAAATCCGAGCGAGGTGGCTGGAGGTGGTCCAAGCCCATGAACCAAATGGAACAAGAAGTTTTCAGGGGAGAAATGCCTGAGGCATCCTAAGGCCTTGCTGCTCTAATATGATCTATAATTAAATAATCGATTTCTAATGCTTTGTGACACGACTTAGCCTTTTGAGGGTTCTACACGTTTCGATGGGTCAGCCGTGACACGCCGACCGTGACGAAGCTGTTTGCTTCCACATGCTTCCCACTCATCTTTAATGAGCTGGGGGCACCCTACGGAAGAATGGAAACTGGAGCGCGCCAAAGCATGTGACGGACAGTGTTGAGAAGTGAAACACGATCAAATCATCACCCAACCTCGGGTTGAAGATCCAGCATGTCCTTTGCCACGCCGTTGCTCGCCTAGGCGACCAGTGCCACAGGCTGGGTTCTAGGTTCAATTTGAGAAACAAATGTCTCATGCGATGCAGGGGTGACTAAATCAGCCACTGCCAAGAATGCATCCTTGGCTTGATCGTATCCCAAATCATCTGGAGCTGGTTGCATCTGGGTCGCAATGGTCTGCGGAATAAGGTACCTGCAGCAGGCACGTGTTTTTTCACGCACGTTCTTGGACCTACAATGCAAGCTGATGATGTCTACCTATCCAGGCTACCTCAACGCCTGCTCGGTCGAAAACACAGGTTGGGTAAAAAACAACAAAACATCCGCCCAGGTGCTGATTTGCTATTGCCAGCTTCTCTTCGTAGACATAGCCGGCAAGTCGAATAATTTCCATTCCTGGAGGAGGGCTCTACTGCTCTCGTGGGTTCTTCCCCCTTTGGGGCTTGTCCTTCACCTTGAGCACCTGGGAGCAAATCCTAACGAGTTCATCACCACCCTGCAACACCACCCGCTGTCATAGTGAGTCATGGCGGCAGCACGTCATAGCATTGAAGTTCGTGACTCGTTCATGTTGAAGTCTTGATCCGCTCATCGGCTCCCCGATGGCGAGCCAGTCAGGTGCGAGCCAGTCATGTTCGACACACCGACTTGGTATGGAAGTGTCGAACTCTGAACAAACACTTGAGCAACACCCTACTAGCGCAACTAGCGCAGAGGAAGATTGCCACCGATGATCACAGTTGTTGCACGATTCAGCACGTGCAAGAAATTCCTCAAGTCCCAGCCTCCAAATTTGGTAGAACATGCGGCAGTGTCGCAAATTCAATTATCAAGAGCCATCCTCTTGTTGTTTGAACATCTGTTTGTTTGGAATGCTCTCAGTGGAACGAGCATTTCCAGCCATCTTTGTCCAAGGCTCGATCAAGTAAGGGTCCTGGACACAACACCCAGCTGGGCACGGGAGAATCAAACTAAGACTGTACATATATGGTGCCAAAATGCTTCTCATGAATCCAATCTCAGGTAGTAATGATAATACAGCGTAATACAGTATATGTCAAAACAACTACCAAGTACTGTATGTTGCAGAATGTGCCACGATTCACCTCCAACTCGCAGATTTGGCTACTAACTGAGCTTTATGGAGTTATATCATGTTATATCATGGACCTTCATCTCTCCTGGGATGGTGTCAGTGACGTTGGCCGTGCAAATGAACAGGACCTTCGACAGGTCGAACGGCACATCCTTGGGAAACTTCAGGACGGGTCGACCCGGTCGGGAGCGGTGATCTTCTCATGGACCGGAGAGTCAGTGGTCAACTCGGAAGCTTCTGGATGCTGAAGGATGCAGCAATAGTCACTAGTACAAGCTTGGGAGAAACTGGCCACTTCCTATAGTGGCAGAGTAGATCAGTATCCTCTCGAATCTTTCGACCTGCACAGTTGCAAAACACAAGATGTCACTATGACATCACAATGATCTGGTGGCTGGCAATTGGCCATCCCCGCTCAACCCCAACAAAAAGTTCACCCGACAAGGTGGCCACTGCCACTTTTGAGCTGTCTTTTCCTTCCCACTCACCAGGTTTTCTAGAAAATCAAGCAAGCGCCATGCTCTCCTAGGAACCTCCCCCCGCTCTTCCCCAGCTTCATTCCTCAAAAGCCGACACATTTTTCCGGCGATTGACTCAGTGTGGAGGGCAACGGTGAAGTGGACACCCTCGTTCTTTCACAGGTAGCGGGTAGCGAGGCAGGCCGAGGCAGGCCCGTGTGCAAAAAAAGCAACACATACATGTTTCGTTTGCAGTTCTTCTTTCTTGGCCACCTTCGGTTCGTCTTACCGAAGACCCGGCAGAACATCGGAGCGTCCAAGTAGAGATCTCGGAAGTTCGCGTTCTGCTCGGGGTCCAGGACCTCCAGCAGGGCGGAAGAGGGATCTCCGCCTCGGTGGTATGGTTTCGAGGTGTAGATAGTCGTGGGCCGGCATGCACCGGTGTAGGGGACATCTGGGTGATCTGAAGCAGGGTTTCTAGTGATTTCATGGTCCACTCTTCATCACTCTTCTCAGGCATTAGCAAGCTGAAAAGTGAAGATCCTGCAAGGCTTGGGTTTAGGGTTTCTTTGAGGGATGCGGCAGCTCGAACTGGTGCCAGAACAGGATCCTGCAAGAACTGATAAGAACTGGCACTTCAGTCTCTGGGAGGCCCCACGGAAGTCACGGCCCAGCTTGTCCACTTCATCCACTAAGATGACCGGATTGGACACCTGCCTGGACACATCGAACGGTCTCGCGGGCGTCGCGTCTCAAGACGGTCGCGTGGCGTCTCTTCGGGTGGGGCGCATGGGCATGGCGCCAGCTTCGGCGGGCGAGGTCACTGCAACGGTGTGGCAAAAAAATGTTTCGCCTCCAATTCTCAAAGATCCGAAAAGGAATAACTGTACAGCTCACACATATTCTATGCGAGACAGCTGGCTGGGCAACTGACCTGGGTTCTTTGAGAAACACCCTCTGAAGGTGTAGTTCCTTGAGCGCAGAGCGCCCAAAGATCTGAAGATATGACATGACCATCCAAGGAGTCCCGGTTCTCCGACCCAAACAAGACGTATTTCTGACTGAGAGTGCTGAGAACAGGCTGCTCCTGAGACCAAATGTGCAAGTGGGGATCATCACAGAAGTGAGCTTTTGATGAACTACAATTAATAATCATTATACGATTATATATGCGCTTACTCAACATGATCTAACATGGTCCTATGAAAAATGTATATACTGTATATATATATATATGCGTATATTCTTTTTTCAGGACCCTTTCCCCCCTCCCCTGGTTACCCTCTCGAAGAAAACAGGGAGTTCCACGCATCGCCAATCGGCGCCTGATCTTCAGCGCCTGAATGATCTTGCCCGGCATCGCCCCGACATAGGTCCGCCGGTGCCCGCGGATCTCCGAGACGTCATGCAGGCCGCCCACGGAGAAGCGGAAGAACTGCCTGGCCATGGGCAGGGCGGGACCATGGCCGCCCAGGCCGGAGCTGGGAACTGGAAGACGTCATGACTCCGTTTGCGGCAAAAGATCATGTATCAGATGTAGGGAGAGACGGGGAAAAGAACATATTTATCTGTAATAGATAGATCCATCCAACCTATCGATATACCTATCAATGTCTGTCCGTCCGTCCGTCCGTCTGTCTGTCTATCTATCTATATCTATCTATCTGATTTATAGACCTACCTACCTATATACTATATACCTACCAACCTACAGACCTACCTACACACCTACCCACCTACCCACCTACCCACCTACCTACCCGTCAATCCATCCATCTACAACTTTGGGTGGGAAGCTCTGCACCCCATGGCCTTGCCCTCCCCGCCTGTCGATGGCCCGCGCGATGGATTTCCCAATCGAGGTCTTTCCCACACCCGGCGGGCCCACCAGGCACATGATCTTCCCATGGACGGAGCCTGAAGAGAGGCAACGGTCAGGGCCCCAGAAAAAAGGTTGCCAAGCATACCAGAGATCTGAGATCCCTTTAGTAAGTACTTTAGTTAAGGGATGTTAAGGGAAAAACACACATGAAAAACCCGAGCACATCTATGGATCCGTGGATCGGTTGTCCCACATTGGAGGGTCCCACCAGTTGTCTCAAAGTGATTGGGTCCCACCTGTCCACTCATGTGATTGACCTTTGGGATTTGCCATTACCTCTCCTTTGATGCACTCGCTCGTCTGTCGTGAACACGGGGGATGTCGATGTGACCAGGCTGATCCAGGTGTTCAATCACCAATTGCACTAAAGGCATGGGATGCTCACCACAATCCTGGCAAGTCTGGAGACCATGGCGCTATTGGATACAAGCGGATCGTTGATGACGGTTGGACCGGCTGTAACACCATCATGAAGCACTCAGTAGTAAGTTGAAATGCTTGGCGGCGCTGCCCACGCGGCCATTGAGAACATGCATGATTCAAATCAAAATCCCATCTGTTCTCTGTTCTCTGGTGGGCACCTTAATTACTGGTCCTCCCCATCCCCATGTCCCGCTGGCTCTCCGATCATCTCCGCTGGCAGAGCCCAGCTCTGTCGTAACGAAACCTCGCCTTTCAGGAAGCTCACTGCCATATGTTCAAGAATCCGTTCCTTGACATCCTGCGCCGCGCGGAAACCGCCCAACCCGGGCGCGGCGAATTCCCCAGAACGAGCTGGCTCAGTGCTGCAACATGTGTCAAGAGAAGAAGCTTGGCACAGAGAAAGTTCAAATTCCTGGTGAAGACAAAGAGCTTGTCTGCGATGAAACTGAGCTGCACTGTACAACGAACAAGCTGTGGAAGTTGAAGGGTTGGGCAAACATCTCAGAAGAAACACCATCATTTGAGGCAGTTCGGCCAGTTCTGGTGGAATCATCCTCTCAGAAAGGGCCTCCTGATAGTTATGCATTGGCATCCACGTTCCCCCACCCCCGAGAGCATCTGTATAAGTACATCTAGACTCTAGACATTCGAGATTTCGTCTTCAAACCCATGTTGCACAGCCCCTGAGAAGTCGTCCTCCAAGCTGTAGTGATCCTAGCGGCTACCCAACGACCCCACCGCACTGCCCGGTCTCAAGCGCAACCACGGAAGGACACCATGGATTGACAAAAGGATTGCCCTGGTGGGGTGGAGGCTTTGGTTCCAGGTGGTCCGCGCATGGGAGTCTTTCAAGGATCGCTCGGAGTCGGTGAGTTCAACTCCAGACTGTCTCTTGTTAGGGTGTCTTACAGTATTGGGTTGCTTCGTACTTCACGGGTGAACCGAGCTTCACGATAGATGTGGAGAAAGGAATTGAACGGATCCCTTGGGCCTTCCAAAACTTGGAAGCTGAGCGACTGCCACAGGTCGTGTGCTCCTACGGTTTGGGGATCTTTGGCGGGCCTATGTGCCCCCCCAAGGCCCATGATGATCGGCTCAAGAACTCCAAGGGGGACGAAGCCCCTTCCACCAAGGGAAACATAGAGAAACTGGTTAATTAGCATTAGTAACACAGTTGCACGCGACCAACTGGTGTGATCTTCATATCCAGTTGCATGCAAATTCATGGTTTAGCCAGATGCGTTGCAAGACTCATCGGTTTCTTGAACACCAAACTCCCAACACACCATTCACCGAGACCCCTTTCAAGATGCAAACCAAGTTGTCGCGAACTAGGTCGCGAAGTGCGGGGGAGCACCTCCAGAGCAAACACCTCATACCCTCATGCCCTAGATTCGCCATAGATGCCATCTGCTGAGTAGCAGAATGGTCCACCCCGCTCGTGCAACCCGACCGCCCCTGGTTCATGCACTTGACAAATGCTATCTAAAGAAAGAGTCAGGTTTGTGTTTGAAAATGATCGTGTCATGGGTGCCAATGATGCTCAAGCTCCAGGCGTTCTACACCAGAAGATTAGAAACCGAGCTCTCAAAGAACTCCTTTCTCCGGCACGCAGTCAGTCAAAGAAAACAATCGAATCACAAAGCACCGCGGTCTTCGCGATGTTGTGATGGGTGCTAATTAATCAACGAAAGTCCTACAAATATCTACAGCGACTTCGAAGCAAGTGGCACAAAACAGAAAGAAACAAGTGGCTGGCGGTGGAAGGTTGCCTCCTGGAGCCCCCCAACAAGGACAATCTTCCATAGGTAAAGGTGCCATCTACTCCGGCCGCCTACTTTTGACAAGACCCAAGGTACTCCACTGGGAGGGAGGCCGGTTGGTTTGGTGAACTGCGCAAGGAGTTGTTTCCTTGAAACGCCAGCTTGAAACATCAAGGACTGCTGCCTTGAGAACTGCAGTGGGCCCAGTTGCCGCTCTGATTTCAATAAGCTCTGCAATCAACAGTTCCATCATGACAGTAGGCTGGTCTTGTCTCACTTTACACCTGGGTGGGCATAGGCCACATCATATCGTCCACATATAGCAACGGTATCCACTACAAACTGCTAAATGCAGCTAATACCAAATTCGTGGATCGAATTCGGTGCCCGAAACTACGCTCTCCTTGCACTGGAAAAAGGCCTTGAGCCACTCAGTACCCATGCCGGTCGTACCTCACATCTCCAAGTTCTGAAGCCTCCCAAAAAAACCACCGACTGACCGGTTTCTCTGGGGGCTCGGCCATTCAAAACATGATCTCACTGGCTTCAAGCAGGATGAAGCAGGTATTTGATGGTAGTTGTAGCTGTTCGGGTGTCCATCGCCGAGGCTCTACTTGGATCCAATGGAATGCATCGAGCTCCCGTTGGCATCTCTGGTCCCACCAACCCTCGCAGCCATGAGGACCACATGGTCTCGCTCGGCAGGATCTCTCAGCAGGAACCTTCCTCCTTGTTCCATCCTTTTCAACGGGGAACTTCACACATCTTCATGGCTTGAAGTCAATGGGGGCGGCAGTGTGCAAAAGGATCGAAGAAAGGACGGTATGACAAACATCCGTGAACAAACAATCTCTATGTAACCATGTGTCTGCTATGTCTCTTTTTGTGAAACTGAATCACGGTGGAGTCAACTAGGCTAACGGTCCAATTTGACCTACGGAACGTGCAGTGGAGTTCATAACACGCCATCGCCCACTTGCAGAAAAGGGTCCGCCAGGCGCACTACCTTGGAAATGTTTTTGGACCGAAGAGCACCCCGCTGGCTCAATCAGGCCCTCTACTCATATTTCTGGTGCTGACTCTTACATAGCTGAATGATGCTGGTTTAGACTGGCCGCCTACACTTACAATTGAGACACCTTACCTGCAGAAAAATTATGGCAGATCTCGGGAATTGCGAGGATTGTGAGAACATGTGAGAACCATCTCCCCCCGTCTTCGGGCACATCAAACACAAGGCCATACGGCCAACATGCCCCCCCTGCCCGACTGCTCCACCGGACAACCGCGCTGCCTGGGCCGTCAGTCGGACGGTTCTCCAGCCCTTGGAAGATGCCCCGCACATCAGGGTCATCGCCCACATAAGTCTTTCCAGGATGGCCGATGAAGACCTGGGGCAAGAGCCACTCGGTCGTGAGGCATGCAGCTCGAAAAGGTCAACACCAAACAGTTTGCAACATGTTTGTAAAGTGTTGGTGGCTCTTCCTCTACTGTACTTAACAGGGGGCGGTTCTCATGTGCAGGGCTCAAAAAAAGAAGATGCCGTTCTTGTTTTCCATGATCCAGATGTTTGCCCATTCAACGAGGAACATATGCCACATGCAGCAAATCAACCAAACTCACCCACCTGGGTGCAGAAAGCGCTAGATTGCCAACACTCCCCAACTGGCTTAGCCAAACACCTGAGGAATCCCCAATGAATCTGGCCACCCAGACACCGGCCCCATGTGTAAAGTGCTCTTGGTCAATTTGGGCGCGATCACAATGCTCCGATCATCGAACAGAGATGGGCCGGGTGCCTCTTTCACATTCCACAATCCGCTGGGGTTGATTCCTTAGCCAAACAGCCACAACACTTGCGGTTACAGTTCCACATGGCTGCCCCAAAAAGCGACCGTGACGAATCATGACGAACCATCTACTCAAGTCATGTTGGCCTGTCCACAATGGAAGTCCGCCACGGTCGACGGGGTGTTACAGAAACTGTTCGGGCACACTTTCAAAGCGCCAGTTCTACATATATAGTTCTTAGTTCCACCTATATTGACCTATATCTGCTTTTTTCTGGATTGAAAAGGGGGGAAAGCTGCCAGATCCGATTGCTTCAGTGTCTTGGGGTCCTCCAAAGCCTGGATAATGAGGCAGTGTGATGGCCGCACACTCGTGGCGACGCTCGCAGGGAAGCGTGCAGCTCTGCAGGAAGGCCGCGACTCCGGGTGGGTTCAGGTTCACTCCATCGCCGACCTGTGGGCGGGCTGAGATCAGGTGCACTGGCTTTGGCGTATCCACTTCGCAAAAGCCCCCACGTTGTTTGCACTCTTTTTTTGCACGAGTATGTACGAGTGCAAGTATACGAGCGCCAATGAAGAAGAAGGTACACCTGTACACCGAAAGCCTATCCATCAAAGCGAATCCAAAGATCGAGCTTGTCAAACTCAAAACCTCAAACCCTGAAGGCTCGGGGCTTTGCGGTAAGGGATCGCAGTTGCCCCGCTCCGACCAAGAGGATCAAGCCCAGCCACGTGGAAGCTATCGTCTGAACCCATCGCCACTGCATAAATGCTGAGTTTGGAGTCCTTGTCCATGTGGGGAGCAATGATGATCTGAGCATCTTCTGGGTCTTCAGTGAGCTGTCTCACCTGAGAGCTGGCCGCCACTCAAGTTGCATCGGCACCACACAGAGGCTGGTTTGAAAAGAGAATGGTTGGATCGCACGCAACACGGACAACTCTCTGGTGCCTTGCGCTTGTCAGCACTGGAACCGGCACACGGTTCGGTTGGCGTGCAAGAGCTGCATGAACGTGCAAGGCGAGCGAAATGTTCGGACATTTCAGAGGAGGATGGCCATCTTCATGGGGTCTTCCCAAAACTTGGTCTGGTAAAGAGGGACCGTCAGAGGGACAAAGGAGTAGGGCAAGTACGACGGTGCAAATGTACACGTGACACACGTGATTATATTTTCGGAGACCCACCACCGATGGGTTTGGGTCTGTCTCCCTTCTTTTAGGGGGGGGTCTTTGGGAGGTCTCCCTGTTTTATATAAAGATTTTCAATAAACCACCCCAAATGAAGACCCAATGGACAGACACAGTTGGCTCAAAGAAGCGCTCGGTCTGATTGCCGTCACGCGATTTCGAGGCTTGGAAGGGTCCGGCATCGACCCTGGAGGAACAATCCGCTCCCCCCCCTCAGAACAACACACGCGATGCATCGTTCCTATTAAAAGATATGTCAACCGTGGATGATGCAGAGGATGACGAAAACGACGAAGACAATGATGGCATGGGGCCTTCGCCGGCTCGCATGCGAAACCGACATGTCATGCTGCTTGGGATTCGCATGGGCTCAGAAAATATAAACCAATTGATTCTACGCCCCAAGAGCCTCAATCACCTTGGTCTTTATCACTTTCACACGGAAGCTTTCCTTAGAAGAGTGGATGTTCAGTCGAGGGAAGCATCTGGGAGATGGTGAAACGGTCAGCAAGTCTAAATAAGAAGTTCAAGGAGCACCAACCTCTCTGGAGGCCCAACTTAAAGCACACCAGGATGATGATCTTACTTTTAGCTTTGCATTCTCCTGCACAATCACAGTGCCACTTGAAACAGTGCCACACCTTCAGGTTCACCACCACCTCCAGCACCCCCCGGCTTCACTCTGTTGCCCAAACCTGTGCAACAACGCCGCGCGAGCGCGCGCATTTGCACCAAATACACCAAGTTTCTGCTTCCCCTGGGTGAGGGATGAAGACCGTCTTTCGCGTGGAGGGCCCCGTGACGCGGAGGTTGAAGGCGGGCACTGACCAAGGACAGGCACAGCTGCGGCGGTAGCTGCAGCCCGTGGCATTGCACTCAACTCCGTTGGCACCATAGTGGCCATTCTCCTCACATATCTTGGCTTGGGGGGTTACAGTTGATTTCAGACTGGCCGGAGTGTTTGGGGATTTCTTCC